GGCCTAATGTGTCTGGCCATCTTTTCTTCTGGTTTTTCAAACACAATTTTGTCAGCCATGTCCTCCTCTTCATCATCCTGAGCTGGAACAACAATTACCTCTTCTTCTGTCTGTTCTGGGAACTCACAGACGATTGGTTCCTCCTCCTTGGCTTGGAAAACCAAGGGTAATGTCAGCACCAGACATGACAAATTCACTGAGAATTCCCCAAAATGAATAGTGCCTTCTTCTTTTGATTCAGCTCCATGATTCCCAGATTGTTCTTGTGCTTCAAAAGTTGCTTTCAAAACTCCGTCTGGACTTATAATGACAGACGCCACCTTTGGAGAGGCTAGAGATTGGTCATCCCCCTTCTGTAGAGTCTGGGTTACAGCCTCCTTTTTCTCTTTTCTCACCCAGACTATATTCCTTTTGGTAGGTTGGCGTGGTCTGCGAGATGAACTTCCCTCAGCCTCCACTTGCTTCTGGTGTCTTTTTCGCTCTTCAGCCCTCTTGCGCTGCAGTTTGCGCCTCAAGGTTCTGGAATTCTGGGCTGGAAACTTGGGATGACTGATTTTTTCCCACCGTTTGGAAGGTGACCTGAGTGGCGGTTTGACCATCCTTGGAGATCTAGTACCAGTTGAATAACGTCTGGCACCTTCTGGACTGAAGTTCCTGGTCACCGTGATCCTTTCTTGCCCCCCGAGCCTCTGTTGGTCTGACCTGACGCTCCTACTCTGTCTGGATCTCTGCGCCTCAAGAACCCACCTTAAGTCTTCTGCAGCAAGGTTCCTTTGAGCATAAGGCAGACTGCGATTTCTGGCAACACTCCTGAGGTCTGCAACATTCATGCCGACAGACACAGCTGGAAAAGGATCTGCATCCACTCCCATGGTTTCCTTCGCTTTGTCTGGAAATTTCAAGATACCCTTATCAATCTTTTCCAATGACCTCAAGGCTGGCCCATGGTCTCTATTGAAGAATTGAGTTGATTGATTCTGCAGATCACGCTGTACCAGTTGGGCTGGAGGAACTTGTGGCTGGAAAAAGTCCCTTGGACAAGGTTGATGATAAGGACCCACATTTCCCTTCCTAGCTGGCAGAATATACTTATGTTGAGGTTGATGGCCATGGTCTGCAACAGGAGTAGCAACCTCCACCAATTGGTGTTGTCTTTGCTCTTCACCAATGACAAAGTGCTGCTGTTGAATATTGGGATGAGGCTGATTCCCTTGCCCCCCGAGTGCTGGGATTGGGGCTTCCTGAATCTGTCTGGGCATCTCAACGATTGGAGGAGGGATCTCAAGTCTGGGCTGTCGCACTTGCTCAACCACTTGTTCTGAAACAGCCTGCAGTGGTCTGCGACTTTCTTCCCCAGTTTCTCGCATCACCCTAGTGCCTTTTTCAAAGACCCGTCTCATTTCTTCTATACATTGTCTGATTATCTCTTCCTGACGTCTGGCAGACTTTGCTTGACTCTCAACAAGTCTCTGCATAGTCTGGTTCTTTTCTTTGAATGCTATATCCAGACGATCCATCATACCTCTAAACATATTACTTGACTTAGCAAAGTCACCTCCATGGTCTGCTTCTTTCTCCTTAAACACTGGAT